CAAGGTAGTTGTGTCATTTTCTTCACCGTCATCACCATATAAAAACACATTTTTAATGTCAAACATTTGAATACAATGACTTTGGTATCGTTTGCCATGTGCAAGTGCATCCCCCATCAACATCCAACAGACTTTCTCACTCTTCATCTTTGAAAATGCATTTTATATCATATATATATATAGTGGGAAAAGAATTAAATTTCCTACACAATCCAAGAATTATAAGAATGAATAATGACCTACATGCCTTACAACAAGATATATTAACATATGGACTATCTATAATCCTATCATCTGCCATTTGATCTTCCCAAGCTATCCTCAACCACATGATCAGTTGATGGAAGCCCAAAATATCGCTACTACTACAGTGGAAACCAATTGCACCCAATCTCTGCCCCATTGTTGTCGTCGTCACCAAAGCCCATTTATATTGACAAAATGCGGAGCTCCTAAAGACTAAAATGTCACCCACACGTGTGCAGGATGGGATGTATGCATGTATGAATATTTCATATATGATTTAAGTGATAAAAATGTTTTTGGGCCTACAATTAGGATTTTCATCGGACGGACGGACGGACTAAATTGGGTGTTTTTTTTTTTTTCAATTGGACGGCTAAGATGGCTTGGCATGAACATGAACATGTCCTGCAATGGGGAGAGCTGGTCCTGCTGAAACTCCTGCATTTGAGAGGCAAAAGAGTCATCTAGGAAGGCATCCATGTAATTAAACTGAAAATCGAGGGCATTTTCCAAGTCATTATTCCATCTCGGCTCGCTCTGCACTTCTTTGTCACACATGAAGTCGGGTGACCCCGCATGCTCGGAGCCACTCGAGTCCGTATGCAACCTCGGCACCGAATCCGATGTCTCAAAATGCAGCAAGTCATTAGACATTAGTGGTTGTGATGGTGGTGGCCGCGGCGGCGGCATTGAGATGGCCTCGTATCCCGATAAAATTTCGGGTTTTCTCTCTTCAATTTCTAAATATTGAGTTGGCTTTGGACCTGTCGAATTTAAATGCTTCTCAATAGCACCCTTCTTGTTGTATATTCGACATAACACCCAATCATCAAGCTGCAATGGCAAAATAGGTATATATCGATCAGAGTAATGTCATAAATATGCTTTATAATTATACTTTTCCTTTAATTATAACTAATCCATTTATGATAATAATTGTAAAATTTCACATAAATAGCCCCATCTTGGGCATTTTGTTACAGTTTTAAGAGGGGCAATTATTAAGATTCGAAAAAATAATAAATAAAAAAATTGGGGGAGAATTAGACAATTACCCTTAAATTGTTTTTCTTGCCGGCGGACCTATCCACATTGGCTAACCGATATTCATGCATAATCCAATTGGTCTTCACCCCTTTGGGTGCTTTTCCGGCGTAAAAAACCAGAGCCTTCTTGATTCCCACCGCCTTCGGCCGCCCTATTGGCTTATCGGCTCCGGTCGCCTTCCAGTACCCCGTCCCCGCCGCCCTGTTCGGCCTCGAACCGTTCGGATACTTCCGATCTCTCGGAGAGAAAAAATACCACTCCTTTTCACCATACATCGCCATTCCTGCACAATTAAGCAAATTATTAACAAATTGAAATCAAAATTAGCTGATTGAGAAGATTTTCCCCAAATTTTTCTGCACAATTATTGAAATGAAATCAAATTCTACTGATTGAGAAGATTTGTCCCAAAATTGAGTCCAATTCTGTTTTTGAAACCTAAGATTTGATGGTTGAATTAAAAAAATAATAATAATAATAATTTGAAGTACCTGGAAGTTGCCATGGATCGAACTTGTAGAGATCGATCTCGGCGATGATCGGGACAGAAATCGGCTGAGCTGCGCATTTACGGCACAGGTAGTGCATCACGAGCTCCTCATCCGTCGGATGGAATCTGAATCCAGGAGGTAACTCCAACTGACTGCTACTGCTCGTCATTCACACCTACCCTTTTTTCTCTCTAACTTTCTCGGAAAATTTTTCTTCTCTTCTCTCTCTCTCTCTCTCTCTCTGTCTCTCAATGTTCTTGTTCTGGATTGAGTCTGAAACATGGAGAATAATCGATGGGGTTGCATTATATAGGGGTCTCACACAATAAAAGATATATACATAAGACTAGTATATTGACACGTGGATAACAACAGGGGACGTATTACTAAATGGGGTCGTATTACTATTTTGAAAACGTGCTTTAGGCCTTGAAAGAGAGAGAGTGAGAGACTTTGAGAGAGAAAGGGTTTTTTTTACTAACTTTTTTTTTATTATTATTATTTATTTTACTCACTTACGAGTATTGGTATTTACTAATTTTGAAATGTATAAATAATTTTTGTTTCACATATATTAAATAATTGTTGAGTTTAAATTTTACTAAAATATATTTTTAATTATTAGACATGTACATTTTTTAGCTATAATTTAATAATTAAAATGTATTAAAATAAGAAATAAGTAGATTTCAATATAGAAAATTTAGTAATTTTAAATTTTCGTTCTTTTATCAAAACAATATGTTAGTTGTTTGCTCATCAAATAATAAAATTATATATTTTTATAATAAAAAAAATGGACAAATCACAAAATATTAATAGTCAAATTTATATAATCATATGGTATTTCAAAACCAAGTGATAATTTTTATTTAGATAAAATAGTAAAGAATAAAACTTTAACCAGTATCAATAGTTTAGAATTAGTAAAACTTCTAACATTTTTGTTTGGGACTGATGATAGGTTCAATTGAGGGAACAATATTGTATTATGATAATTATATTCTTCTTATCATTAAATCTGCCAATATTATACTGATCCGAGTGGAGAGAACAAAAAATTATAAATGGTCAAGAAATTTTTTTAGAGTGAAAATTTGCACTTACAAAAATTCTCATAAATTTATAAATTATGTTCTATCTCATTGATATGATATTTATTTTTAATTTAATGCTTATTCGATTCCTTTCAAAACCAAGTGATAATTTTTATTTAGATAAAATAGTAAAGAATAAAACTTTAACCAGTATCAATAGTTTAGAATTCATAAAACTCCTAACATTTTTGTTTGGGACTGATGATAGGTTCAATTGAGGGAACAATATTGTATTATGATAATTATATTCTTTTTATCATTAAATCTGCCAATATTATACTGATCCGAGTGGAGAGAACAAAAAATTATAAATGGTCAAGAAATTTTTTTAGAGTGAAAATTTGCACTTACAAAAATTCTCATAAATTTATAAATTATGTTCTATCTCATTGATATGATATTTATTTTTAATTTAATGCTTATTCGATTCCTGTTACTAATTCAATATTAACACATAAAATAATTTTTAAAAATGATAGAAAAACAGAGTCTGAATTTTTTTTAAGTGAATTTCTAGAATTATTTTACAATAATTTTTTGTATAATTGAGATTTTTCTAAGTGACTATCAGTTGGTTCGTTTGAAAATTAATTTTTTTTAGAAATTTTACGAAAATACATATAAAAAAATAAAAGAGCAGACTAATTTTTTTGTAATGCATTTTTAACTAATTGAGTATTATTAAGTTTTATAAAATTAAATTTCAATAAAAAAACCTCTTTTTGTAGGATTTAAATTCAGAAAAATGTGATATGTGACATAAGAGTATTTTGAAAAAAATAATTAAAACTTAATTTTTTATTTTTTTTGGCATATTCCCAAACGAATCCATAAATAAATAAATAAAAGAAGAGATTACTTGGGGAGGAGGGACTGACCGCAGCCTCGTCCATACCAATCCAGGGTCAAATGATGGTGGGACACGTGTGGGTGTCCAACCCCGTTGTAGATGATTTTGTCATTGCTTGCGTCACCTAGTTGGACACAAATTAAAGTCGGCTGTGATCCAACGGTTTTCGTCTCTGCCCATCGTTGACTCCTCTGCTCTTCCAGCTTCCAAGTCGGCGTCTTCACCACGTTCTTCTGCTGCTCTCGATACCATAAATTTATCATACAAGTCTCCACTAATATGGCCCTCTTTGGCAATATTTTTTATATCAATAATGCTTGAAACTGGAAGTGATGTTCTAAAAGCATCATTAGTGATGTGATAATAGACGGGACCTACTGCTTTGTGTATTGTTTTTTTTTTCTTTTAAATACTTGCCAACTCATTTGTGGTGCTTTAGAGCACCACCTTTTAGTGGGATGTATCATTACTTTTTTTATATTAAAATAATCAATAATAATAAAATGAGTTAAAACATTTAATAAAATAAAATATTATACTCAAATTATAATTTTTTTTTTTTCACAACTATCAAATTTAAAAAAATCAATCAATTTTTTAAACACGATTTTTTTTAAATAGTTAAAAAAATTAAAAAAAGTCAACTAAAATAATTAATTTCTCAAATAAGCCATGTATTGACATGTTACCTTACTATGGTTATTTTGGTCATTTAAATGTCATGGAATTGGTTTTTGAGTACTGAGAGTAGGGGCAACACGAACGAGACATAGCAGAGGATTGAAAAAAAATTCAACGATGGATTTGAATTACACGTCAGCCGATTTGCATCAACGTGTGGCTGACGTCATATATCCTGCTTACCTGGCATTCACCGAGAATATGCTTGGTTAACTGGAAGTGTCATCCCCGTGGATTCCATTATTTTTACGTGTTCTGGGGGTTTAAATTTTTTTTTTCTTTTTTATTTTTTAACTTGAACTTTCAGTAAAAAATTCAAAAGCCAAAACTAAGAAATTGAACCTTTTGAGGGTTGTCTTGTGTGGTTTGGTTAGTGAATATGCCACTTATATAATTGTTCATGATTTAATTCTTAGGGTCAAATTGTGATAAAATTTTTTCTTGAATTCTTTGGTTCTGACATGGATGGTCTGTCTTTGATCGGATCAATAAGAGAATTAATCAAGGTGTGCGTAAACTGGCCTGAATACACTTTTATTGTTAAATTTAAAAAAAAAAACTAAAAAAATTGTTTTGAGAAGAAACTATTTTAATTACTTTTTAATATTTTATAATAAAAAAACGTACCAAAAACATATAATAGAGTTGATTTTTTTATAATGAATTTTTTATATTTTTTATATTTACTTTTACACTATTTCAACTACTTGCAAAATAGGCCTAAAACGTATAAAAAGATATAAATTGAATTTTAGTTGAAAATACATATGTCAGAGTTCAAAGTAAAATTAAAAGTCCATAAAAAATTGAAAAAATTAGTAAAATATCTCTTTCTAACTTTGTATAATAGGAAAGATCGAAGATGTTTTTTTTTTTATTAACTAAGATCCCTCGATAAAATTTCTCTGTAAAAATTAAAATTTCTCTGTGTCGAAGTCATAATTTCTTTGAGTTGAGCAAAATTTTTCTTATTCGAATTTTTTCTACAAAAATTTTGAGGGACCTTAACTATTATAAAAATATTATATGTCATTTATCTAATAAAATTTAATAGCAGAGATCTTAAAAACAATTCTAAAAAATTATTCCTGCATTTTTTTAAAAATAAATGAAAGAATATAAGTACAAATTAGTTAAGAACTTCTATATATCATTTGTTTTTTCAACCTTTTATATCATTGGAATACATGATAAAGTATTATTTATTTTTATTAATTACTTAATAATTATTGTCAAATAAGAGAACTAATAGTAAATATTTAAGGGTAAATTACAAATACACCCCCTCAGATTTGATTAAAATACGATTCACCCCTTGTGATTCTAAAAATTACATTTCATCTTCTGAGATTTTTAATTTTATAACAAATCGCTTATTTTATTAATAAATTATGAAGTCAATTAACAGTTTTTAATGATGTTAGAAATATGTTTCAATTAATAATTTAGGCAATTTTATTATTATATAGGATAGCAATTATGAATTTCATTTTTTTAGTTAATTTTCTTAAATAAAAAAATTCTAACAATGGGATATTTGTAATTTTTTAAAACACAGGGAACAATCTGTACTTTAAGCAAACCTTCGAAGTGCATTTGTAATTTACCCAAAAATTTATGTAAAAAGTAATATAAAATGGTGATAAAAAAATGATAATATATAAAAAAAAATTCAAATACTTTAATTTTGAAAATTCTCATTTACTTTAATTTATTATATAGCTAGGGGTGTAAATTTGGTCCAGCCCAGGCTCGGGTTGGCCTATGTCAGGCCGCGTGGGCTCCTGCTAAAATTCGAGCAGGGCCGAGCTGCCGGGCTTGGGTTTGGGCTCGAGCTTGGGCCAGGCTTGAACATTTTTTTCTATTTTTTTACCAAAATTTTATTCTTTTCCACAAAAAATAACATTGGGCCTCGGGTGGGTCGGGTCTCGGGCCGAGCTTTGAGTGAGCCTTAAGCAAACTGATAGGCAGGGTCGGGTTTCAATATGACAGCCCAAGCCTAGGGTCCTGGGTTGCGCCCGAGTCGTAAGCCATTTTTACACCCCTATATACAGCGTTGAAAAAGTCAATGGCATTGTTGTCGTTAAGTTTTTAGGGACATGAGAAGGTAGTGACTAGGGTTTTTAAGGCGAGAGAAGGTAGTGGCTAGGATCTTTAGGGTGGGAGAGGTAGTAGAGCTATGGTTTTTAGGGATACGAGAGGTGGAAGTTATGGCAATCAGAAGTGGCTATAATGAATCCCATATTTTCATTACTTTTTAGTACAATTTTACTTTTGACTGAAATTACTAACAAGGACTCCATATTTTGGGACTCGTACTTTCTCCCTAAATTCACTTTCTTCTTCCTTACCTTGTCAAAAAATACAAACACTCTCACCATTGTCCACCTCCATTTCACCACCACCACCAACCCCTTCCCAACCACCTTAGCGTCATCCCCGTGGATTCCATTATTTTTACGTGTTCTGGGGGTTTAAATTTTTTTTTTTGTAAAGCAGAACCCCAACTTTTATGTTGGACTATACCTGAATTCAATGGCATTATACAGTGGGAACG